AATAATTTGGATATATCAACAAAGTTGAAATGGTAAATTGGCCACCGTAACGATTACAAAAGCTGACGTTTCGAGCGTTAGCCCTTCGTCGGAGCGAATAGAGGAATTGTGGGTTGTGTGTGCTTTTAAAGGCAGAAAATGGAGCTACGTTATTGGTGGGAGCATGGCAACTAGAAAAACATGAATAAATTAGTGGAATGAAAAGCGCGGTGGCTAATTTGCCATTTCAACTTTGTTGATATATCCAAATTATTTCGTTACTCCCACCGACGCAGCCCCAAACAGTTTCTTTCGAAACTATCAGCCTTTATTTACTTATTTGACTTATATTTATAAGTCACAAAAACAACAGCCGTAGACTCGACTTTTGTTTTTATTTTGATAAATGTGAAGCACATGGATCGAGGTCTAAGTAGTATTTTTCTTTCCTCGCAAAAAAAACAAACATACAAACAATCAAACAAACAAAATAACATTCAGACCTCAAATTGACATTGTAGTGATAGCATGTATCCTAGGCCTCAACTGTCCCAAATAAGTTACCGCAGCTCGACCTTTAGACATATCAACCGACGCCATTCAAACTACTATTGACGTGAGGCTGTTTCCGTTGTATATCAAGTGAAGGTGCATAACCATTGCGACAATATTGCTACAACAATAGAAACAACCTGACCACCTTGAGTCAAATTTTAACTACCTCAAAATTTGTTTCACTTGTTTCAAAATAAATGGGTCAATTTTGAACAGGGCCTCCATACTTACAGGTACCATGTAAGTAGTCATAATGAACCAAGTAATTGGACTACGAGGAAGGCTGATCATCGATATTCTGCCATTGGTCGTCATCTGAAAGATGCTCATGGGAACGTTAACTTACTCAATGAGAGCCAATTTCGGGTGCTTAAAAAATGCAGCACGAAATGAGATTGCTTGGTGAACGAAATGCTGAACACCCAGAGCGACTTCATTAAGGCTAAGCTCTTTGTTTGACTCTCAATGACCCGTAATTTATTCATTTTGTCATCTATATATATCTTAGTTTTGTTATTTCATTGTCACTTGATAATGAAATAATCATAATGTAATGGAAGGCTAACTGAAAAGGCTAACTTTACCAGATCGCGACTCCTTCTATATGTTTTACAAAATGTTCTGGAATATTCCAGGGAGCGGTAATACAACTATATTTAGAAGGTTTCATTAAGAGTTCTTAGTGAGTCAGCGTGACTAAGCGTTCCAGAAACTTCCTCAGCTCTATTTTTAGTAATTATGTAACAAAACGCTTTCTAGAAAAATATGGACACCCTCCATAACAATTTCTATTTCAAGGGCCAATTATGACTTCTTTTAGAGATAAGTTCAGACTTTTACTTCAAGAATTAGACCACCAATTCTTAAACCTGATCTAAAAGGCTCGCACATAGGAGCAGTGATAAAAGCGTTGGTACAAGTCTTCTTTGTAAATTGCACAGAAGGAACACATCTCTAACCCAATTAACCCAATTCTAAATAATTTGGTATTTGTAAACAAGATGTTCTTTAATAATCTATACTGAAAAGACCAGACATAAATTTTACCTGCCGCGTCAAGGGGATCGAGAATACTTCATGGAACGGGTTTGAAAGTTCCAAATCGGCTGACAGGGTTTTGAATTTATTCAGATATTTAGCTTTTTTAACAATCAGCAGTGAAAAGAACTCTTTTAACTTAGCTGAGTACATGTCTAATTCGGTATTATGGAATTTGAACTTCATAGGATTAAATTCCACCGGTTGAAAAGAGGATAACTTGTCGTTAGGCTTAGACAACCGTAAGGCAGACCAAGTCAAATAGTTCGAATCAAGCCCCGTATTATTGCGGTATAATTGAAATGAATAATTCAACGGAGTGCTTTTCGGATTGGGGATCTGTGCTCTCCGGTGTACCGCAGGGCACAAAATTGGGCCCATGGTTATTTGTGCTTATGATAAATGACCTTGAAATCGCGTATCCACTATGGAAATACGTTGACGATACAACAGCCTCGGAAATGGTACCAAAAGAGAGTGAAAGTCACGCCCAAAATATAGCAGATTGTTTTATTGAGTGGTCACGAGAAAATAGAGTTCACTTGAATTCTGATGAGTGCAAAGAGCTTCGGATCTCATTTTCTAAAAGGCCCGGGTTTTTGATCCCATAGTAATTGAAGGCAAAGAGTTGAAGGTAGTTGATAGTGTAAAACTCCTGGGCCATCATATAGCTAGCGATTTGACCTGGAACAGTCATATATCAGAAGCAATCAAAAAGGCCAGTAAGAGGTTGTATTTTTTAGCACAACTAAAGAGAGCTAGGGTTCCTTTACAAGACCTAGTACTTTTCTACACATCATGTGTAAGATCTGTAACAGAGTAGGCGATACCTGTCTTCTATAATGCGCTTCCGCAATATCTGAAGAATGAGCTTTTACGTATTGAGAAACGGTCAATTTCCAATATAACTGCGGGTGATTGCGCGGTTGCTAAAGATTTAGGAATACGACCTATCTTAGAGCATTACGAATTTCAATGTCAGAAGCTTTTTAAAGGTATCTTAGACAACCCTAGCCATAAGTTAAAGGCGTTTCTTCCACCCATACATAAACCCAGCTATAACTTCAAAAATAAGCGCCAATTTAATATGCCACGCCTTCGCACTTCCAGAACGATGAACACTTTTATATTTGCTATGGCAAAGAAGTTTAATGGCTAGATTTTTATCGATACGATATCCTTTACTTTTGTTACGGCACGCGTGATAATGATAGTAATAA